GCTGAAAGGGCGAGCATGTTCACTCTGTAAAGAAACAATTACAAAAACTAAAGACTTAAAATAGTCACTAAAATAGAATAACACGTTGTGTATTTTAATCGACTCCCAGAGAGTTAGCGGTATATATATATATATATATAGACTTACAACGCAAAAATCAGGGGTTCGATTCCAGGTGTGTGTGTGTGCAGATAGCCAAGAAATAATATTAATGGTACAATTGAAGTTAACCAATATTATATATCTATATATTCAGATTTGAAATTTTATACAGTAGACTGGAGGATTGAAACAAACAAACAAAAAACGACTAACCACACTCCCCCCCCCCCAAAAGAAAAAAACTATTTTATTCAAACCTGAAGTTTCGGCTTAAGCATTTCTCATTGGTTACATACAGCGTCACATGCAATTAGAAAATGATAAACGAAAAGAACACATACAACAATTAAAAACTGACATAACAATGGTAAAGTCATATGTTACGCCAACAGAAAATCGCAAGCTATCGAACGCACAAAATAATCAAATTTCAAAAGCCAAGAATCATTCCTGTATAATTTAGGTTTATAAGATTAAACCAAGAGAGGGAGACTTCGAATTTACGATAAAGGAAACTATTTCATTTTGCTCAGAGCTTAATGTTAAATGGTGTTTTATCTACTGTACCGTGTTTCATTATAAAGTGTTCGGCAGTGGCCTCTTTAGAATCCAGATTCACGGTGGCACGGGTGTATTCCTTAAAATGTTCATGTACTGGACGACGAATTTTACCAATGAACTTATCACACTGAATACATTTCATATATTAAATTTTTAACACTAAAAAGAATCATCTTATACGTTGTTCCCAGCAATACAATTTTTGCTTTACAATAATTTTTCTTGATACCAGAAATAAACGACCTTATAACACCAAATTGTTGCTTTTCTTTAATTGTACACTTAACCTTCACTTTATGGCTTCTTCAGGAACGTTCCACTAAAACACAAACCATAACTGACAGTACAAAACTGTAAAGCGAAACGTTGGGTGTCTAATTAGATAAAAACAACAATTTGGTGTTATAAGGTTGTCTGTTTCTAGTATTAAAATGTCTTCAATACACACCAATATGCACTACAGAAATTAAATCATTTTTCTTATTGAAAGCCGAATGAATAAGTAATTTTTAAATGTAATCCCCAGATTCTATATATATTCGTATATTTGTTGACCTCTTGCGCTAGTCTGACAATTAGTATTCTGCAAGAAAGTTATTAAACACACCATTACCTCTACTTACCTCTGTTGTTATGTTATTTATTTTTGACTGAAGATTAGCCATCTTGTCCTTAGGAAGCTGAACGTAGTTATAAATTACCGTGTTGCTTGCAGTGGGCGGGAGTTTTGACTCACTCATAATCATATTTTATCAGGATATAAATGTAACGGACTCAATGAAAGGTATTGTCAAGAATGAAACTTTATAAGAAACGTCTTAGCGTGCAGTTATGAGATATTATAAACTACCTGAAGATACCACGAACCCACCTCAGAGATAATCTAATAATATTCACAGCAGTCACTTTGACATTTAAGACTATTTTAAAAAATAGTTATTTGATGACAGTCAGCGACGGCCACGAGCTATTAAGCAATCAGGAAGCACCAAAATCAAACTTATCAGCAAAACGGAGAAGACAATTCCTTAAACTGGTTCCGACCTGCTCCAGTAGCTGAACTTGTCAGTGTCGGCGTTCTTCTCCAACACGCAGATAGAAATACAAAGAAAACAAAAAACATCCAGAATGAAATGTTTCTCATGTAGCACCAATCCTCCTCTCACACTTTTAGCAACGACGTCATCACGCATCCAGCCAATCAGTGACAAGCAGCAATGCGACGACAACCTACGTTATCTGAGCTAATAATAGATAAAAGAAATAGGTTCACCAACTTGTGTTAACGCTCTCAGAATTACAAAAAATAACTTTCATTGAAAATTAAGCAATAGTTACGACATCATGCGAAACTTAAAGATTTATATGTAGTGACTTGCTGACACTGCTATCACTAATGGCGATAAACACATGATAAATCGCTTATTTGTCTTCCTATTATTAAGTATAAAAAGCTTAAACAGTTAGCAACGTTTAACTTATATACAAAAATAATTTAGAATATAATAATGTTGTAGATTATTATTTAATATACAATATAATTGTATTAACTAACAGTATTGTTTATCTTTAACATTCTAATAAATCATTGTACAAGCAAAGGTTGTTTATCAACGTAACGCATGTTGAAAATTTCGTATTATTTCAAGTAAGCTTGGCGTGACTGGTGATAAGCATGCTCAGACTGTGAATCCGAGGGTTCATGGATTGCGACCCGTTTCCGTATAAACTCAATCTTCGCACTTTGGGTGCTCTACAATTCCATTATTAGGTCAGACAGAATAGTCCAAGGGTGCTGTTGACTTTTCTCTATGGTCAGTAAGTTCAAAATTAGGGAGGCTATGTGCAAATAGAACTTGCGCGAAAATTCCGAAACAAACAAGCTAAAAATCGTATTATCATAACAAATCTATATTTTGATCACATTCATCCAGTCTTAGCACCCCGTGTTATTCGAGTTATTTTCAGTTCAGAAACTCCGTCCTAAATTATCACGCATATTTTTCTCTAAATAGCGAACGAATGAAAACAATTGGGTAAACACTTTTCACTACTCTTATAGTGATCATGCATGATTATATAGCATTTGAATATAGGCTATGACTGTAAATATAATAAACTAAATACATCTGAATGCAATCCTTGATCAATGACCGCCAAACACCCACATACACAGTGCAGGTTGACAAAGGCACTGGTGATGAAAACAGCCTATGATATCCTAGGTTCGGATCATTAAGGCATTATTCAATCTTGCTTTGCGCAACATTGTACGAGAGATACTTCCTTTTTTGCAACCACAGCGCAAGCAGCTATTTTAGTTCGAACTGAAAGAACACGTAGTACTTTCAGATAATGAAACAACATATATCTATTGATTTTAATACTATATTATAAATAAAGGTACGCAAAAACCTCTGCGTAGGAAAAAGTTGGCAGTCTCTATTCTAACACTATACAGTTATAAGTTGGTTGACATATACGTATAATTTCCCTACTTTGTCTCAATCAAAAAATATAATTATATAAAAGCTAGTTACACACACACAACTTTTAACTGTGCAACTGCGCAGACATGAATTCGTAGCAAAGTTTTGTATATTTAGAAAATTAAAATAAGCTAATTATGCACTGCTGTAGGAAGTAATTTTGGAGTAGTCAGGCCATTGCCACATTACTCTTTCTAGGGGGGGCATGCCCCACAGAAATTTAAAAAAAAAATTAATGCTATGAGATTGAATCTTGAGAAATTTTAACTACAAATACCACGTGCACATAACGTAACGTACTGAGTTAAAAGAAGCAAGTTTTAATACATAATTTGTAGTTTTACATGCCTGACTGGCCTTACCGCTTCCTACGGCCCTGTTACACGAAAACAAATTAACCGAACGTGCATAACGCAATAAACTGTCGATGCTTGTGTCATTATAAACTATCCGCTCGTTTTGTTTTAGAATTATGTGCAGACAACAAGAGTTTTATGTGCACATAGCCCTTTCTAATTTTGAACTGAAGTATTATATATGGAAGGCAGCTAGTCAACTGAACCCACTGCTAACTTTTGAGCTACTCTTTTCTGATCGAATAGTGAGATTTGACCGTTATTCTTATAACGCACGCTCGGGCCCAAAGCGCATACTATGTTTACTGCGGCAATGACCACGAATCATGAAACCTTGGATTCACAGCTCGGCACATTAATCACTAGCCGCACCTGGCCCAATATACGCTGGTAAATACACTTGTTGATATAAATTTCTATACAACGCACGTTCATCGTACAAATCACATCTCCAAAATGACAAACATTATTCGTGTTGCATAGTAACTTAAACTGTATAATTCTGATAATTTATACTGAATAAAAGTATCACGAATAAAACAAATGCAATTTACGACAGTTACCGAGTTCCACATTACCAACAACACTAAAACACTGATGCGACTTAGTGTTGAGTGTGTGTTCTAACAAAGCTGGGAAGAAACAGACTACGTATATATGTCTTTAACGGCGAAAAACACAATAGTTCTACAAACTTCTGTAAATGTTGTATCTTAACTTTGTGCGATTTCAATGTCAACAAATGATTTTACTTCTTAGAAAATACTATACTTAAAACCAAAAATTCTGACAAAAGTTACACTGAGGATGATATGCTTATTGAAACGCATCACACTGAAACAAAAATACCAGATCCCGACCACATAGTGCCAATTAGGCAACTCGAAACACTTATTCAATTTGTTTACGCACAAAGCTGCACAACTAGTTACTTGTATAGTACCAACCGCAGAAATCAAACCATGAATTTTTGTGTTATAAGCACTTGTGGCTTTCCGCTGAACCACTAGGTGCTTCCGAACCACGGTGTTAACCTTGTTATCTTATCGAAACCTCAGTTGTTCTATATGATGCGTGTTTACTTCCCAAATTAGACTTGTTTAAAATAGCATCATTATCGGTGGTCCAGATATTGTAATATGATGAGAAATTTTATGTTTTTGTCAGTTATAACACTCAGTGTATAGAAGTGACCAAAAATCAAATGAAATCCCGCATTTTCTATGTAAAATATGTAGGAAAAACGAGCAGCTGTTAGTAAGATTAACTGCTACATAATTTTTTTTTCGCGTGACTGGTATGTTAATAGGAATCCTGTAACCAGCAACATCTTGGGCACACAGACAATTTGGTGCAATAAGTAGTTTAAAAAATTCGATATGGCATAGGCCCCCATGGGCAGTTCAAGGCTAAAACGTATCACAAAAGTCAGAGGTTGTGTTCATCTGTAATTTCACGACGCCATTTTAAACCGGCAAAATATTCACATTTATGTCTGCCAGTAAACAAAAAATCAGTTAATAATGAATTAGTAGGTGCGGATGAATCTCAGTGGCATTTACAAATACGGTAATCTACACTGTAGATTTAGGGTAAAATGTGAAAACTATACTCATAAATATATCGAAACATTTATCATTGTTTTTGAAAAAACAAAAACTAAACTGCCTGTATATAAGAGCTATATAAAAATAACCAGGAGCAATTAAAAACTCTCAAGGTTGTATTGACACTATATTACGGAGTTCGGGAAGGGGCTTCGGGGTAAAAAAAAATATTTATATCTTGCTTATGACCCCATGAAATATTTTCTCCTATGTCCCATACGTACAATATTTTTTGTATTTTCAATAAAACATTTTTGGGACAATATATCGACTAGTAAATACCCAAGTTAACCACAAATTAGGAGCTAAACAAAATTTTAAATTTTAGACCTTTGCAAAAAGAAAAAAACAACAAAAAAACACGCAGAGCCGCCCCTGATTTGGAACGAAAATACAACAGTAACCAACAATTACTTTATTTAAAATAAAACAGAGGGTAAAGTTAGTGTAAAATATCCATGTGATTATTTAAAATATGGAAATGATTCAATAAAAATTTTAAAAATAAGTTGTTTGGCACACAGTTGTACAAAAATTAAGTTTACTTAAAATATCTACATACATTTACAGATGTGCAACCAAATCCTGCTTATGCATATAAATATCTATATACATTTACAGATGTGCAACCAAATCCTGCTTATGCATATAAATATCTATATACATTTACAGATGTGTAACCAAATCCTGCTTATGCATATAAATATCTACATACATTTACAGATGTGTAACCAAATCCTGCTTATGCATATAAATATCTATATACATTTACAGATGTGTAACCAAATCCTGCTTATAGAAATGTAAGA